AGATGTCGGCCAGCTTTTTAGCCGATATACTCTCCTGGATCGGTATAAAATGGGCACTCTTGGTCAACCGATCCACGATGACCCATATGGAATCCACTCCCCGCGCGGTCTTGGGAAGTTTGGTGATGAAGTCCATAGTGATATCTTCTCACTTCCACAGGGGAATATCCAACGGCTGCATCTTGCTTTGTGGCCTCTGGTGCTCGGCCTTGAACTTCCTGCAGGTCAAGCACCGCTCCACATACCATGCTACATCTCGCTTCATGCAGGGCCGCCAATAGTCAAGACGAAGGTCTCTATACATCTTTGTCGCCCCGAGATGAATGGAGAATCGGGATTTATGCGCCTCCTCCATCAGAACCTGACGCACACCCCCGTGGAATTGAACCCACACCCTGCGGTGTAGTGTCAATAACCCTCGACTATCATAGTCGAAGGAGGAAACCTGACCTACTATACGCTCGCTCTTCCGATGTTCCTCCTTCATAGCCTCCTGCTGGGCCTCTCGGATCTGCTCCAGCAGCGGAGTCACCACGGTCATCCGCATGCAGATATCCCGGTTCGGCACCGCCTTGCGACTAAGCGCGTCAGCCACCACATCGGCCTTCCCCGGGTGGTAAAGGATTTCGCAATCATAATCCTTCACCACGTCCAACCACCGACGCTGCCTCATGTTCAGATTCGGCTGATCCATGAGGTACCTCAAACTCTTATGGTCCGTGTAAATGGTACAACGGACCCCATATAGGTAATGACGCCAAATCTTGAGGGCGAACACAACAACCCCCAACTCCAAATCATGCGTCGGATAATTCGCCTCGTGAGGCTTCAGCTGCCTCAAAGCGTAGGCGATGACATGCCCCCTCTGCATCAATACCGCGCCCAAACCCGAAATAGACGCGTCGCAGTACACAACAAAATCCTCTACGCCCTCTGGCAGGGCTAAGATTGGCGCCTCGCACAATCTCTGTCTCAGTGTCTCAAACGCTGCCTGCTGCTCAGGCCCCCAACGAAAGACTACGGCCTTCTTCGTCAGCCGCATCAAGGGTACGACTATCTTGGAGAAATCCTGGATGAATCTCCGATAGTAGCCGGCTAATCCCAGGAAACTCCGAATCTCAGATGGAGACTTCGGAACCTCCCATCTCATCATGGCCTCCACCTTGGCCGAGTCGACCAGAATACCGTTCTGGTTGACAAGGTGCCCAAGAAACTGCACCTCGCGCAACCAGAACTCACACTTGGAGAACTTGGCGTACAAGCTCTCTCTCCTCAGAGTATCCAAAACCTCTCGCAGATGCTCCTCATGCTGCTCCTGCGTCTTGGAATAGACCAAGATGTCGTCGATGAAAACTATCACAGACCGATCCAACATCGGTCTACACACGCGGTTCATGAGGTCCATGAACGCGGCAGGAGCATTGGTGAGCCCGAAAGGCATCACCACGAACTCGTAGTGGCCATAACGCGTCCGAAACGCAGTCTTCTGCACATCCTCCTCTCTGACCCTCATCTGATGATACCCCGAACGCAAATCAATCTTGGAGAACCAAGATGCTCCCTGTAGCTGGTCAAAGAGGTCCTCAATCCTCGGGAGTGGGTAACGGTTCTTAACCGTTACCTTATTCAGCTACCTATAATCTATACACATCCGATGCGACCCGTCCTTCTTTTTCACGAACAGAATCGGGGCTCCCCAGGGTTAACTGCTCGGCCTGATGAACCCCTTGTCTAGCAGCTCCTGCAGCTGCGTAGACAACTCCTGCATCTCGGGAGGAGCCAACCGATATGGTGCCTTGGCTATCGGAGCCGCACCAGGGACTAGGTCGATCCTGAACTCCACCTGCCGCTCCGGGGGTATCCCAGGAAGCTCCTCTGGGAACACATCTGCGTAGTCTCGCACCACTGGAACATCGCTCACTGTCGTCTTACCCGCCTCCCGGGTATCCATAACATAGGCGACATACCCAGCACAACCCTACTGAAGGTAGCGCCTAGCCCTCGCTGCTGAGCACACGGTGGGTCCACGCTGTGGTCTCTCGCCGCGGATTACCAACTCTCCCCCACCTGGGGTCCTGACTCGCACTAACTGTTGTGCACAATCTATCACCGCCCCATTAGGGCTCAACCAGTCCATGCCTATAATCACCTTGTTCCCACGCAACGGAATAGGAACCAAGTCTACCAGGTAACGCTCCTCGAATAACCTCAGCACACAATCTCGGAAAAATGTTGATGCTCGCACCAATCGATCATCGGCAATCTCTACCTCTAAAGGGCAATCCAACACGCCCGAAGACTCAGAAAACCTCTTGCTGAGCGCAAGAGAAACAAATGATCGAGTGGCACCTGAATCAAACAACACCTGTACCGGAATACCATTCACATGGAACGATCCTAACATGTATATATAGAGCATATATCAATATCATAAACATCATATAAATAGATCAGAGGAAAAGAATCATACCCGTCACCACATCGGGTGCGGCGCGTGCCTCCTCGGTAGTCAACTGGAAAGTCCGGCTCCTCACCACTGGAGCCTCTGCCTTGCCCTGCCGGCCATCAGTAATCCGCAGGGTCGCTGGAGCTAGCGCCTTCACTGGCGCTGCTGCTGTCAACTGGGGGCAATTGGCCTTCTTGTGGCCCCTCTGGTTGCAGTGGAAGCACAGCAACTCAGATGTCTAAATAGTGGGTGCAGGGGCGGTACAATCCCTGCTGAAGTGCCCCGTCTTGCCGCACTTGTAGCAGCTCGACGATCCCAACCTGCATGCTCCCTCATGTGACTTGCCGCATTTCCTGCAACGGCCTCGGCCATGCTGGCCTTTTGGCCCAGCGTCTGATCCCTTGGGCTTCTTCCCCGAAGCCCCAGTCGTCTGTCCCTCCTCTACCTTCCTCTTCCTGATATGCTCTAGATCAATCTCCCTCTCCCTTGCCCTGGCAATCATGGAATCTAGGATAGGGCAAGCTGAAAAACTAACATGCTCCCGAATGTCAGCTCGTAGCATGTCATGGTAGCGGGTCCTCCTCATATCCTCATCGCCCGCATACTGAGGCACCAGTAACGCCCTCTCCCGGAACTTGGCGGTGATCTCCGCCACAGTCTCCGTAGTCTGTCTCATATCCAAAAACTCCCTGGCCAGCTGCTGAAGCTCCACAGCTGGCGCAAACTCACTCCTGAACCGGGTCACAAAGTCCGGCCATGTCATAGCCTCAACAGCCGAGGCTCCCAGAGAGTCACCAACCGACTCCCACCAATCCCTGGCCCTGTCTCTCAAGCACCCTGCTGCATATCTCACCTTCGACCCCTCGGGGCAGAAGTTGGTCAACTGTGCAGACTCAATGTCTGCAATCCACCATCTGGCCATAATGGGGTCCTTCGCCCCATGGAAATCCGGCGCACCACTGCCCCTGAAGTCCTTAAAGGACCGTGTGCGTGATCCCGACTGGCTGGTCGCCATGTCGCTCCTGAACGCCCAGAGGCGATCCTCCATCAGCTCGACAATCCATTCCTTGATCGACCCAAAGAAGTAGCCTCTAGTGATCTCGGACGCGATGTAGCCTCTCATCCACTGGTTCGGAACCTGAGCCCGAACCCGATCCCTCTCCTGAGCTGCCAACTGCTGGCCTCGGACGTAGTACCACCATTCTGCAATACATAATGACAACCGTCAGTGATACTGATACATCTAGAGGGATCACACCCATCACAAGTTACCTGGTCTTGCCTCAACCTTCCTCGATTCAAGTACGGATCCTCTGCTTTCAGTAGTACGGGCCCATACTACCTTCCACATCTATCCGTACTTTCCTCAAGAACCGCCTCGACTCCACCAAGTCCCTTCTACTACTACTGATCTCTGCTACTCTCATCCTAGGCTTGCCCTAGGGAAATCTCTGACTCTACCCAAACCAGTCCTCAGCTGCTGAAGGCCTCCTCGTAATGCCAATTAGTCATCACCTGAATACCATCACATGTGACGAGGCTCAGATAATCCTTCGAGTAAAAGACTCGTCCCTACAACGGTTAGACTCAGACAAGAGCTGCGCAATAGGGTCAAATCCAGCACTTTGAGATTATTCAACCCTGATCACATGTGAGGTGACGTATCCACCTAATGGCTAACTCCCATCACTCAGAGTCCCACATAGCACAAAGCGTGCAGCATTCAGACAAAGGGAACGATCTCAAGCAATCATATCCTCATAACAGGAAACTGTACTAGTATACAATGCTAAGCTCATACTATCAGGTATAACCTAAACAGGCTATCCTACTTCTGTCTACTCAATACTAGCATGCAATTCTCATAAGCTGAAACACATAAAGCAGGCACATAAGGCATCATTCCTAGATCCTTAGTCCTATTCTAGCATGTTGTTCTACTGAAGCTGATAAACATAACATAAACTTGTATGGGTACTTTAGGGAATACTTACTTGAGCTCGGCCGGTCGCGCACATCACACACCTCGTTCTTTCTCAAAACTCCTTTAACTTATCTTTTAGAAAACCATTTTCTTGTAAAAAGCTTTTAATCCCTCGATTTGAGTCCAGACACCCCCGAGGGTGTGTCCGAATCCCTCAAACCAGGGCTCTGATACCAACTTGTAACATCCCAAAATTTCGAGTCCAAAAATTTCATTTTTAATTAACTGATTATAAAAGCATTCATAAGAGAACCACATAAAAGATATCATTCCGTAAATCAATATATCATGTCTGAAAACCCAAGTCATAAAATAGCATCATGTCAGAGTACAATCCCAGAATATCTCAAGTGCGGAAAATCAATGCGAGTGTGTATGATGTGCTGCTACCGCGCCAGCTCCTTCCCCTTCGCTGAAGAGGTACCTGAAACCAAAACTATAAACTGTAAGCACGAAGCTTAGTGAGTTCCCCCATCGTACCGCATACCATACAATCACATAACATACATATACTGTCAGACATATCTGGGTGCCCGACCTACCCCTTCGGTCCTCTCGACCGGATACTGCCTAGCATATCTGGGTGTTGGCCTCTCCCCTTCGGTCCATTCGAATCAAACTGATGTGCATCCAGTCTCCTTCTTGAGTGATCCTTCTGCATTTGTATATCAACATGTTTAATCTTACGATATCACTCTACAACAAAGCACTTTTTTTTAAATGTTGGAATTTTACCTGGTCACTTTGAAAATTAGAATCAAGTTGCCATCGGTGGTCAAATGTGGATCCCTAAAACACCATAAAACAAGATTAAAAGTCAAAACAAGTAGAACATAATTAAAAAAAAGACTAGAGTAAATGTCAACATACCGGATGTTTTACCCTTCTTTTTCTTTTTAGGTCTATTTGAAACTTCCATAGTCAAACTGTAACTGCTTTTCATAGTCTCCAACTGACTCAACTTCCATATTATTCGGTATCTGGGACCCACCATGTAAACTACTTTGTTCATCTTGAAAGGAATTTGTATCACCACTTGAAGCATCTATTGTATGTGGCGCTTGTACACTTCCAAAAGTTCCAGCATGGAATGGACTTATAATCCTCTGTCTGGAAGCAGTACGCACGCTTTTTGTTGGAATTGAGACATTTAAACTGGTGGCAGGTCTTTTCCCACTCAAAATAGAGGGTTGGGTTGGTGGGTCCTTGGAAATGATGGGAATTAGGGTTGAGCACGCGTGGCGATTGCTGTGGGGAAATTGGACGTGGTGGCTGCTGGTGGTGGATTGGGTATGGAGGAACTCCTTGAGTGCCGCCACTTTGTGATGCTTGTTCCGCCACCACCGTGTTATGGTTGGGCTGGATAAAGAAATCAAAAAATTGATAAAAGGGTATTTTAGTCTTTTTTCAAATATATATATATATATATATATATATATATATATATATATATATATATATATATATATATGGAGTTTCCTTGAGCAGATGTTGGTGTTGGTGTACTGGAAGTCAACAAACCAGTGGTGGAATTCATGATGGAGGAAGAGGGGGGTCTTGCACACAACATTTGATTGTACTGTTGCAATTTTTGTTGGTCATCTACCGATAACGACTCGGCTCTAGGGATCCCGTATCTTCCCTCCTTTTACATACATTAAAATAAATAAATCAAAATTTGAAACAAAAAACAAGTCATTGAAAGAAAGTTATTTACAGAATTACCTGGCAGCTGGATTAAGAGGGGAAGAAGCAGAGGGAAGATTAGTTCCATGAACGGAATTGGAAGAACCAGGAGCTGAAGAAGCGGGACCGGGACCAGATCCAGGAAGCATAGGTGGTCCAGTACTGTGATTCAGAACCGGTAACCCACTCGGACCTTGAAAACCAACCAGTACTGTGATTCAGAACCGGTAATATATATATATATATATTATATATATATATATATATATATATATATATATATATATTACTTTTTTATGAAATTTGTTTTAATGATCTAACAGTTATGTATGAGGCCCCAACATGTTATATTTATGTTTGATGCCAAAATAGATAAGGTGAACTGTAAGAATTTTTTTATACGAAAATAACTTACCAGGCTTTTCTCTTCATACAAAAAACATGATTAAATTTTATAACTTAAAACTGTTACTATTAAACATTAAAAGCTTTTCAAATAAATAATATCATTGCGATTTGATGTTGATTTGGTACTTTCCACAAAATTGAACATCTTTTAAAACATACGGTCAAACAGGTGACTCAATACATACTGAAGTTCTGCAAATAGGGCAACTGGAATGTGTGATTAACCACTTATCAACACACTCAGAATGATAACAATGACCACAACTATGCAACACCTTCACCTTCTTTCCTTAAAAACTCCAAGACATATACTACATTCTAACGTCTCATTTGTCTCTAAAAAATTCGAAACTGTTAGATTTTGATGGTAAATTGTGATCGGAAGGCTGTTGATCGTGGCAACATTAAGGCCCTGTGTCTGAGCCGATGACGGGTTCTGTGATAAGGAGGAGGAGTTGGTGGCGTTGGGGGCAGAGGATAAGTTTGAAGGGATGGAGCAGCAAGTGTATAGTAAAATTGTTAAGGCTAGCAAGATGACGACTATGTAGAGGAGTATGTTGTTGTCATATAGGTTGTCATCGTGCAAGTACTGGAGTATTTGAGACCCTTTCGAAGCCATTGCTTTATGGTGGACAACGGTATCTGGTAACGATGGTGCTCCACAGATATGGCGACGGAACTTACATGCTTTTGAAAGGATGTGATATGATAGATTATAAAGAGACAGAATGAGAAGTATGAGGCTGCTGCAACTGAACCTGGAACCCCACATCTCCAAGCAACTTGATGTGGTAGCTGTCCAGGAACAGGAGGTTGCAAAGATGTAGGAGAAACTGATACATTCTTTGGCACTTCAGAGGAAACCACCTGATAAGAACCAAAAGAAGATATCACCAATTTGAAATGTATCAATAATGGCACATCTTGATGACACAAGTTTATTTCATTTCAGAACCAATAACAAAAGCATCAAACGAACACATGTAATGGTTCTAATGGTCCACTCTTTGTAATAAAATCACAAGTTTTTTTTTATAAATTCCTATTACATCCAACTGGATAAGAATATTGACATTTCATTCAAATGTAAAAGGTGAGTTATGTGACTCTACAGTCTTCTTACAATAATAATAAAAAAAAAAGAAACAAATTAAAATGATAAATTATATAAATAATAGAATAAGATATTTTAAGTATGAAACTAACTAGCAAACCTCCATTGCAGTAAAAGTGATCCATCTTTCATCAAAATCAGAAACAGGACCTCCATTTGCTATATGAGCACCTGAGTTGGCAGTTGTGATTTCTCGAAAGACGATGCTGAAATAGACAGAAGAAAGATGGGTGATTGAATAAATAGATAAAGTGTATTAAAAAAATTAAAAATGTTGACCTGGATTTACAAGTGTAATTACTAAATTAATTATAGGATTATGAGCAACAACTGCAAGAGCTAAAGATCCACCAAAGGAATCTCCAACCAGATAAATTAGCTTCTTTGTAGATGAAGCATGTTCAAGCCTCACAGTTTCTTAAACAAATTGAATCAAATCTTCATATAACAAAAAAATAGTGAATAAAACAGCTTCTAGTAATGTGTGAGTATATAAAAGCATATTAAAAATAGTTTCCAAATAGGTGTAAGCAGCAGAACAGGGGAACCTGCTTTCTGGTAACACCAATGGCTCCTAAAAGTGACTGTATACTTCCTCAAAATCAAGAATATATCATAAGAAGGAAAGACACAAGTTGAAAGAGGATTGGACAGTGGTCCTTGTGTAGAGTGACTACAACATAAAACCCGAGTTTTTCACCAAAAGCATGTTGCCCTAGCTCATGGTATCTGTCAAATCTTTTTCCTGGAACCATTTCGTGCATTTCCACCATTTGCCATAGTGTGTAGAGTGTAATCACCCAGGATAGGACTAGTACTGTGATTCCAAAGCCCCTGAATCAAACAGATTGTATATTATGAAAGTGGATTTTGTGTGGGGATTTTCATCGAACATGTTGTGTGCATCGTTTAAACCAAAAAAGAATCTTACAGAGAAGACTTGGATTGAAGGAAAAGTGATACCATCCGAGTTGAGATAGGGCGTAAGGAAGACTGAGGACACCGGCACCAACCATGGCGGTGGCATTGTGAAAGGCTGAGTACCACCACTTTGCGTTTCTGGAGGATGTCACTGGAAGCCAATCATCGATGGCTTTTTCCTCGGCAGTTCTTCTATCATTCCTCGCATCAGCACCAGACTCCATGGAAGATTGATTTACACGCTTCTCTACTCACTTGAATTTCTTTGATAAAGAAGAAGGAACCCACGTCGAGAATAAATAGAGGACCAAGATCCATGATTTGGGTTTTCTCCTTAACATGAACATATAATAACTGGATTCAAAAATGTTTCCTCCCGTCTACAAACGTCACAAACCCTAGAATGCCCTTTGTAATGTAAACTTGATGGTGAAGAATCAATTTTCTTGAAAAAGCCCTAGGTGTGAATGAAGGGAGATACAGAGGAGAGATTGAAGAAGAGGGCACTTCAAAATATTTGCCCTTTAAAAACGCGCGTTTGATAAAAAAAAAAATATAAAGCTACATTTCTAGAGGACACACATTTAAAACAAGTGCTCTCCGTGTTTGTATTTTTTTTTTGTTGGACATTAATTTTAAGGCACGCAAAAATACGTGCCCTCTATCCTTTAAATTTTGGAAGGCTGACATTATTTTTAAGGACACACAAAAATGCGTATCGTAAATCAATGAGTGTCATTGTTCGCGCGTCATTAAAGGGTATTTTTCTTGTAGTGAGAACTCCCCATGCAAGGTTTAAGAGGTTGTTATGGCCTTTTGAGCAAAAAGGGTCATGCACGGATGTAAAGGCAAAGGCTTTACATATTATTTCGACCCTAGAAGGTTAGATCTGGGTCATGGATGCTTTGTGCCCAACTGAAATTGTCTGAATATATTTGAACGTAGGAGGACTCGACGAGTTGCTCTTAGGACTCGAAGAGTCAAGCCGTTTTCTTGCCCAAAACCCTTCCGATAGCGGGTGTGTGTTGAGTTGGTAGAGGACTCAGCCAGTTGTGTTCAATATGGACTTGAAGATCATCGTACTCGACGAGTTCAAGGATGAACTCGACGAGTCCAAGGCAATCTCCCAACCCATGAAGACGGACTCGACGAGTTGTTCATAGAACTCGGCGAGTCATAGACTGGACACATTCATATGATGAAGATGAACTCGACGAGTTCAAGGATGAACTCGGCGAGCCGGTTGAAGATGGTCCCGATGTTATGGTTGAAGGTGAACTCGTCGAGTTCTTGCTAGACTCGACGAGTAGAGTCGGGGGAGGGGGGTTGTATCATTTTGAAAGAATAGGGACTCGACGAGTTGGTGGACCAACTCGGCGAGTCAAGTCAACTGGATGTTGACTTTGACCAAAGTTGACTTTAACCAAGTTTGACCTAGTTTGACTTTTGAGGGTATTGTAGTCTAAGTGTTATTTTGGGTATTGATAGTTCGGGGAGACGAAGGATCAGCTGTTCAGGAGTTGCCGGTTAGCAGCCAGAAGTGTTCAGCTAGTCTTCAGCAGTGCGAGGTGACTCTCATCACTGGTTGTATGGGTCTACGGCCACAATGCCGGCCCATTTAGTTTATGTATAGTAGGAAGACCCGGGGGTTAGCCCTAGGCATTATGTATGAAAGACCAGGAGGTGGATCTTGGCACACTGAATGCTATTATGAATGAAAGACCAGGAGGTGGCTCCTAGCACACTGTATGCTGATTAGCCAAGTAAAGTAGTATGTATGTTAGTTGTCTTTGTGATGCTTGCATGGAAGACCAGGGGGTGGCCCTTGGCACTTGTCTATAAGACCCAGGGAGAGGGCCCAGGCTTGACAAGAAAGACCACGTGCGGCCCGTGGCATAACAGCAAGACTATGTTTGGCACATAGCACCTTACTTGATTATGGATATGGTTGTTATGTATGGCTCACAGTATGTATGGCATGTATGGCCCAGTTGATATGTATGGTATGTCGTATTTAGGGAACTCACTAAGCTTTGTGCTAACGGTTTACAGTTTTGGTTTCAGATATCTTCAGTTTCAAGAAAAAGGAGCTCGGGACGATCGCAGCGCATTCACCCATGTTATTCCGCATTATGTGATCTTGGGAATTGACTCTGATATTTGTTTTAAATGAAATGTTTTCAATGTCTGGAGCAACGTTATTAAAGGTTTTCTTATATTAAAAATGAAATTTTTGGCCTTGAATTTTGGGGATGTTACAAGTTGGTATCAGAGCCTTGGTTTGAGGGATTCGGGCACACTCTCGGGCGTGTCTGGACTCAAACTGGGGACTTGGTATGAAAATTTTCAAAAGGGAAATCATTTTTATAAAAGAACTTTGAAAGGACTTTGAAAAGAGAAAGAAACTTTGAAAAGAAAGGGGTGTGATGCGTGCAATCGGCCGAGCTCAAGTAAGTTCTCCCAAAGTACCCATACAAGTTTATGTTATGATATGATTATGTGATCAGGATGCAAGTTTAGGGCTAAGGATCTAGGAAGGATGCCTTGTATGCCTGTTATATGCATTGATTGAGTTGCATGCTAGTATTGATAAGTCAGTGGTAGGATAGCCTGTTTAGGTTATGCCTGATTATATGAGCTTTATAAATTGCATGCTAGTACAGATTCCTGATTAGAGGATAGAACAACTTGATTGGAGTATGTGGCTAGTTTTCCCAATGCCCGAATGTTGCTTGCTTTGTGCTTTTAGGAGTTCTAGTTATCTCTAATTAACTAGTAAACGAATATGTTAAGTTACATATTGCAAGGACTAAACAATTTCAGAAGGTTAGATCTAGCCCTATTCCGCAGCTCTTGTCTAAGTCCAACCGTTGTAGGGTAGGACCTCTCATTTGAAGAATTATCTAGTCTGAGGGATATGTAATGGTATTCGCGAGTTAGTTAGGGGGAGATAACAGGAACTTCTTATGCAGCTGATGGAAGATAGCGAGTTAGAGGATACCCTAGGGCAAGCCTAGGATGAGAGTAGTGTTGGGAGCAGTGTTAGTAGCAGTGAAAGGGACTTGGTGTAGTCGAGGTAATTCTTGAGGAAAGTACGGATAGATGTGGAAGGTAGTAGGGGCCCATACTACTGAAAGCAGAGGATCTGTACTCGATTCAAGAAGGGCTGAGATAAAACCAGGGAACTTGTAGTGCGTGTGTGATCCCTCGGTAGTGATGTGTATTCTGATGGTTGTTATGGCATGTTTTCAGCATGGTGACGTTGCGTGAGAGACCAATGGGCGGATCAGGCGTCGGAGAAGGATCAGGATCAGGTTCGGGTGCAGGTTCCGAGCCAGTGGATGAGGAACTACGCGATTTCATCGCGTCTGAGATCACGAGAGGTATCCTTGAGTCGACCCCGGTGATTTTCGGGTCGATCAAGGAAGGGATTATTGAGCTGATGGAGGATCGCCTCAGAGCGTTCCGGAGCGACATGCCATCCAGCCAGTCAGGATCGCGCACACTGTCCTTCAAGGACTTTAGGGGGAGTGGTGCGCCAGATTTCCTCGGGGCGAAGGACCCCATTTCCGCCAGGAGATGGATTGCAGACATTGAGTCTGCACAGTTGACGAGCTTCTGTCCTGAGGGTCGAAGGTTCGATTTGCTGCGGGATGTTTGAGGGACAGAGCTAGAGACTGGTGGGAGTCAGTTGGTGATTCCTTGGGAGCCTCAGCCATTGAGGCTATGACCTGGTCTGACTTTGTGACCAGGTTTAGGGAGGAGTTTGCGCCGGCTGTGGAGCTTCAGCACCTGGCCAGGGAGTTCCTAGACATGAGACAGACGACGGAGTCGGTGGCGGAGATTACCGCCAAGTTTCGGGAGAGGGCCTTGTTGGTGCCTCAGTATGCAGGGGATGTAGAGATGTGGAGACCCGCTATCATGACATGTTGAGAGCTGATATTCGGGAGCATGTCAGCTTCTCAGCATGCTCGACCCTGGACTCTATGATTGCCAGGGCGCGGGAGAGGGAGATCGATTTGGAGCACATTGCGAAGAGGAGGTCAGATCATATGTACTTGGAGGGTCCCGGGAAGAGACCCAAGACTTCAGATCAGCGATTGGTAGGTCGGAAGGGCCGAAGTCAGTGCAGCATGTGCGGGAAACTACACGAGGGAGTTTGTCGTTCCAGGGGTTCAGGCTGCTACAAGTGTGGCAGTGATGGTCACGTCAGCAGGGACTGCCCACAGGGGGCAAGCCCATTATGTTTTCACTGCAATCAGGTGGGCCACAAGAAGGCCGAATGCCTGGAAATGAGGGGAGGAGCAGGGAGTGCTTCTGCCCCGACTACCTTGAGGATTACGGATGGGCGAGAGGGTAGGACCTTGCAGTGACAGACGAGGGAGATCCGGATTACAGCACGGAATGTTGCAGGCATGTATCAATGGTTATTTTCGATTCTATATGTATTATGATTGTTCTTACCTTGGTCTCAGGTGATAGTATGTATGAGTTATCTCTCTGCTTGTATTCGGATTGTCATATGCCAATTGCATACCAGGAATTATTAGTAGCTAGTGTAGGGTCATTTTTCACCATAGGTTCGAAGTTTCCAGTGTTATCTCGGTTACGACCGAAATCGATTCAGGGGCATTACGTGGAGGTCTGTGGTCAGGGTCCATGGAGTGGTCATCCACCATTGTCAGGATTCGGTGGTTTTAGTCTTGATGTTTGGGATGGCTTTTGGAAGCATCAAGGGAAGTGGTCTATCACTGCAGAGGTTGCTCTGAGCATTAGTTATTCGGACCTTAAGGACGTCAGTTGGAGCTTAGGGGATTATCAGTATTGGGGATGCAGAAAGTGTTCATCTAGTATTCGGTAATCGTGCGGTATTTGGAGTGGGCTAGTGACGGATCGCTAGCAAGATTAAGGCATTGGTAGTTAGCATGCCTATCGTGTAAGGGAGGAAGGAATGTAAATCATCGGATTTTCGCGTGCCGTAAGGACTTAGTCGAAGCTAAGTGGGGGAGAAACGATCTTGTACTCAGAAGCAGGAGCGGTTTTGAAGATGGGGTAAGTTTCGCTCTCTTGTCAGGAAGAAAGAAGGCCCAGGCGGCTGTATGAATTGAGGATAGTGTGAATTGGAAGTTCATAAAACTTGTCAATGGTGAGATCGCATTCTCGGGATGTCTGATAGCAGGTTTCAGAAGAATCGGTTGGGAGTTTCAGTCAGGACATGAGTACA